AAAGACTATAACTTCTGTTTTGTCTGCATTCAGAAGCAGAAAGTTAAGAGTCATCCAGGTTTTTATGTCTTCAGACATGCCTGTAATCTATGTAATGGGTTAGCTTCATCTGGATTTATAGATGGATACAGCTGAATATCATCAGCATAACAGTGAAAATTAATCCCATGCTGTCTAATAATTCTACCGATTGGGAGCATATATATAGTAAAGAGATTTGGTCCTAGCACTGATCCCTGTGATACTCCACAGGTAACCTTTGAGCATGAGGAAGATCCGTCATTAACGTGAACAAACTGACATCGATCAGATAGATGCGATTTAAAACAGTCTAGTGCTGTACCTTTAATTCCAACAAAATATTCAAGTCTTTCTAAAAGAATATTATGATCAACTGGATCAAATGCAGTTCTAAGATCTAACAGGATGAGCACAGATACAAGTGCATTATTTGAGGCCATGAAAATATCATTAGTGACTTTCACCAGAGCTGTTTCAGTGCTATGATGAGCTCTAAAGCCAGACTGAAACTCTTCAAAAAGTTCATTATGGTGATAGTGATCGCACACTTGTTTGGTAACTACTTTCTCAAGAGTTTCAGATAAGAAAGGAAGATTGGATATAGGTCTATAATTGACCAAGTCATCTGGGTCAAGAGGCTTTTTTTAAGCAAAGGTTTAATTACAGCAAAAGGTTTAATTTTTGGTTTATGAAGATTACATATTTGGAAAATCTGTATTATTATCTTTTTTTGCTAATCTCTCCTTGAGCTTCTACAGATCAGATAGTTCATTGCTTTTTGTTTTTAGATGTTTCTTTATAGCTGATATGATTCATTGTGTGACACCAGCAGCTGCAAACATTTATTGTTTGTTGTGAAACTGGATTGTTTTGCAGCTATTTTCACTTGAATTGTGTTGACATTTAAATGAAGGTCATCCCCCAAAGGGGATGATTGGAGTCAAAGAAAGTTTTTGAGACCAGTAGCTATATGTATGTTTGTTTTTATTTATTTTTTTAATGAAACTTAAGAGAGACAAAAATAATCGATCAATCAGATTTGGTGGGGGAAACGAAAACAAAAAAGATTTAGATTTTTAAAACATTTTGGCCAGCCCTACTTTAAACCAATAATTGTGTCATTGCTCCTCACTCCAGAGGAAAGCAGAGACTAGAATATTATATTCAAAATGCAATTGAAAAGAAAACACCTTTTAAAGCATAATCTAGAAATGAAGGTGCAACAAGATCAGTTCTTCCTGAACGCCAACAATTCCTCAGCACTATGAAAAACCCCATTAGCGTTGAGTTAAACTGGATAAATCCAAGGCTGGTCTTGGTAGATGTGTAATTTTCTTTTAATCTCATCAGTGTGTTTCCTTTAGGGCGTCATCGTGGGGATTCTAGCTATCGTCCTGTCGAAAAACAAGAAGAGCAAACGCCTGGTTAGTATGATTTCAGCTCTAATTTGACCCCCCAGGTAGGAACCTAGTCTGCCTTCATCCTCCCTGATTTCATTCTGCTTTCTGCACTGATTTTCTCCACACTAAGAAAACTCTTACTTTCAACACACCAAGTTCCCACGCCTCGGTTTTTTTTCTTTTCGCCTCGGTTTTCCTTCTTGATTGACTCAGTCCCCTCTCTCTCCCTCTGAGTCTAAGCAGTGCAGTTTTTCCTCTGTTTACTCTGTCAGCTGCCAGGCAGCTCAAACAAGCCTGACGAGCCAGCCAGCTGAACGGAGTCGCCTTCAGCATGATTAAACCACTCCCTGTTTGCTTTGTTGGTGAGAGCCGTCATGAAAGGAGCGGGGAGAGGCTAACTGGGAGCCGTTCGGCCCTTTAAACGTCTTATCTCATGCAGGCATTAGGCATCTGAGGAGCTAAATGAAAGAGCTCCTGTTACACGATTGCTGTCAGTTTGAAACATGTATGGTGCAACATCATCTTATCTGTTTTCTGGCTCTT